GGATAAAAAAGTCATAGTATAATACTGCATGAAAAGTCAAAAAAAGATCACACTATAGTAAGGCATAAAAAAGTTTTAGTATAATAATGCAAAGAAATTCATAGTATAGTAAGGCATAAAAATGTCAAATCAAAGTCATTGTATAGTAAGGCATAAAAAAGTTTTTAAAACGTTATAGTATAGTAAGGCATAAAAAAGTCAAATCAAAGTCATAGTATAGTAAGGCATAAAAAGTAAAACAAAAAGTCATAATATATTAAGGTTATAAAATACACAATATAGTAAGGGATAAAAAAGTCATAGTATAATACTGCATGAAAAGTCAAAAAAAGATCATACTATAGTAAGGCATAAAAAAGTTTACGAAAAGTCATAGTCTAATAATGCAAAAAAAGTCAGCATAGTAAGGCACAAAAAAGTTTTAGTATAATAATGCAAAAAAAGTCATAGTATAGTAAGGCATAAACAGTAAAAAAAAAAGTCATAGCATATTAAGGTAATAAAAGTCATAGGATAGTAAGGCATAAAAAAGTTTTAAAAAAAAGTTATAGTATAGTAAGGCATAAAAAGTCAAATAAAAGTCATAGTATAGTAAGGCATAAAAAAGTTTACGAAATGTCACAATATAATAATGCAAAAAAAGTCAAAGTACAGTAAGGCATAAAAAAGTTTTTTTTAAAAAGTCATAGTATAGTATGGCACAAAAAAGTTTTAGTATAGTAAGGCATAAAAAAGTCAAATAAAAGTCATAGTAAGCTGCACAGCAGGGACCTGCAGAGACCTGCACCTGATTTCAGATCTTCCTGCTGTGTGGAGAATAAATGAGTTTAACTGCAGCTTCGTTAACAAAGACTTGGTTCAAACACAGTGAGCTTGTACTTTAAAGGACCCCCTGGGTTCCTCCCTGCGTCATGGCCGCTGTCCTTGGCCATCAGCTGACATCAGCAGGTTAATCCGTTCCTCTGAGCTGATTAAACCTGTTGATCTGCTCAGCTGCTGGTTAATGACCTGCACACTGTAAAAACACAAATCCCTGTAAAACACAGTAAAATGGTTTGGAGTGAAAAGCTCCCAGCAGAACTGGACCTGAATCATTTGTACAAAGTTTTTTCATTTAAAATGAGCTGAACCAAACAAACAGATCAGAATCAGATCAGTGGTAACAGTTTGTTCTTCTCATGCATGAACATCACATTTGAGTCACAGCGCTCAACATCGATTTTTAATATCTAAACACCAACAGGAGGTTTATCAACACCTGTTCTTCTGAAGGTTTCTCCAGAATCCACAAAGACGCTTTTCAGAACATCTTTAATCCAGATGTTCTGAAAAAGATTTTAACACATTTCCAATTTGAAACATGTTCGAGCTCAATTTGAACAAAATTAAAAGTTATATTTGTCTATATTGAAAATAAACATAAACATGTGTACATGTGAAATGAATTAAACCTGTTGCATCTCTTGCATATACCTTTATATACTCTATACTACTACATACAGAGCATTCAGAAAGTATTCAGACCCCTTCAATTCTTTCACGTCTTTTTATGTTGCAGTTTTATGCTAAAATAAACTCCATAGCTCATAATGACAAAGTGAAAACAGAATTTTAGAAATTTTAGCAAATTTAATAAAAAGGAGAAACTGAAATATCACACTGACATCACTTGAAGTTTAGTTCAGCTTCCTCCATTTGTCTCGTCTTTGAGTTGTTTCTACACCTTGATTGGCTTCCATCTGTGGTAAACTCAGCTGATTGGACACTCACCTGTCTAAATAAGGTCTCACAGCTGACAATGCAGATCAGAACAGAAACCATGAGGAGGAATGAAGGAACATTTCTGCTGCATTGAAGGTTCCCAAGAAGTCTGGAAACAACCAGGACTCTTCCTGAGCTGGACCCAGACTAACTGAGACATCAGGGGAGAAGATAGGAGACCAAGAACTTGATGGTCACTCTAAGCTCCAGAGATCCTGGGTGAAGAACCAAGGATCCAGGCAGTAGAATGGGAGGCATCTGAGCTACTTTTCAAGTGTCATAGCAAAATGTCTGAATACATATGTCAATGTTATATTTAAATTTTTACTTTTAACATAACAACAAAACAAAATGTGAAAATAAATGAAGGGGTCTGAATACTTTCTGAATGCACTGTAGACCTGTGTACACACCTGTATACTTCTGTAGCTATCTCTTTGTACAGACACTTCTTTATATATCTGTGTATACACCTGTATGTACCTTGGGCAGAAATGTTGGTGAGTTCTATAAAAGATGAGTCACACAGTTTGTGCCAGTCACAATCTCTTTATAGGTTTTATCATACACAGCGGAGCAACTACGGGCTCCGACCAACCCACAACAAAACGTCACAACTCTCCATGTTACAAAGAAAAAAAAAACAGAAACATACAAATATTACAAACTGTCACTGAAGCTGATTTTCTCTTTACACTGACTCTTTATTCACTATACAGCTGATCTGACTTCACCTCTGTAAAACTGGACACAGACCAGATCCACACACACTCTTTGATGCAGTTTCCTGTCTGTTGAACTGACTGAAGACTAGTGTAAATGTACAGTTTGATGAAGTTTGATGAAATTGCTCATCAAAGCATGTGTGTTGGTTGGGCTGCGACTTCAGAGTAAAAAAGTGTTCCCGTTTCAGTCTGAACCAGTGTCGCTCTGACAGGGAACCAGACGGCCAAGTGGGATGTTCTCACCCTGAACTCAGTCTGCCAGGCTCAGTCCTGCCCCAACAAGCCCTACACCAACCTCTGTTGACAGATGTTAGCATGAGTGTTAGCTATCGTTCCTTTGACTTGATCAGTTTATCAACAAACCTTAAAAAACACAACGTATGAAAGTCAAGAATTGAAGATAGAAGTCATGCACTCAAAATAAAAACTAAAAAATTTAAAAAGTTAAAAAGACGATGTTCAAGTGGAATTCAAGAAGCTGCATTAATCTTATATACACTCTCTGTATATACCTGTATATACCTATATTTACCTCTGTATATACCTGTATATACCTATATATACCTGTTTGTACCTGTATATACCTGCATATACCTCTGTATATACCTGTAATTACCTCTGTTTATACCGGTATATACTTCTGTTTATACCTATATATACCTGTACCTGTATATACCTCTATATGTACCTCTGTACATACCTGTATGTACCTGTATTTACCTCTTTATATACCTGTATATACCTGTATATACCTCTGTATATACCTCTGTAATTACCTGTATATACCGGTATACACATCTGTTTATACTGGTATATAAACGCTATATGCCTGCAAGTTTTTGAACCTTTAGAACCTCTTATATTTCTAAATATGATCTCAAGCATCATTAGATTTTTTTTTTTATACTGAGTCATTTATTCATTGAGGAAACTGATTAAATATTGAATATCTGTGACTGGTTCAAGTATGTGAACCTTTGCTCTCTCTTGGGAGTGACCCCCTTGTGTAACTAAGTAACTGCTGATCAGTCCTGGACTTGGAGGAATTTCAGAACAGCTTCAACTCTGGCACGTTGGTATGTTTCTTCACAGGATCTGTTCGCTTCAGGTCCTTCCAACACTGCGGTTGGATTAAGGTCAGAGATTTGACTTTGCCATTCCAAAACATTTACTTTACTCTTCGTTAACCATCCTTTGGTGCTTGGGGTCGTTATCTCTCTGCATGACTCTGATTTATCGTCATGAGAGAGGCCTTTACAATAAAAATTATCTTGAGTTCCTTTTTGACCTCACTGACTATTACATGGCTCGCTCTCAGAGTGACAATTAATTTCCTTCACTTGCACACCTCCTGTCTGGCTGTGGATTGGTGGAGTTCAAACTTTTTCCAGCTTGACAGGCATCAACAACTCTTTCTCAGAATTCACGGGGCTCCCGTTCACCTCCATCGCAATAACCCGACTCTAATTTCAACTTTTAAGTAGCTGCTTGTCCCAGAGGTTCACATACTTGTTTCCTCCAAACATAAATGACCAAGTGTAATATTTTTGTCTCATTTGTTTAGATGGGTTCTCTTCATCTACTTAAGGGAGTTGAGTGAAAATCTGACGGTGTTTTATGTTATTTATGCAGAAATATAGACAGTTTTAAAGGTTCACAAACTTACAAGCACCACTGTACCTCTGTATTTACCTCCTGCTGGTCAGGAGAGGTACTGCAACGGTTGCAGTACCCATACTGACCAGCAGTGGCAGCACTGAGCACTCCAACATTTTTAGGCTGTCTGTTTCCGTGTCAACCAACCATGTCTGAGTCAGACAGCCACAGTTAAGACCAGAGCCCGACCGATGCTGGACGTCTGAGACACAAACAGCCGATAACGATTCATTCTTCACATAAACAAACACGTTTGGCAAGAATCTCTCAAATTAAAAATATATTTTATATATTCTGCGCGCTGCTGGACAAACTGTGTAACTGCAACAGTTTCTTAACCGTCTCAAACATATTGGATATGACGCATCGGTCGGGCTCCGGTGAAGACCGGCGTCGACTCTTTCTGGCCTGATGGCGTCCGACGGTCTGACCGCCTGACAGGAAGCATTGATGAGGGGCAGGAAATTAATTTAATATTTGTATATAATTTAATTTGAATCCTAACCCAGATGTTTTATTTACAGCAGCAGGTTTCTGTTCCTCCTGTTTAAAAATAAACTCTGTTCAACATATTTACAGAATGGAAAATATCGACATTCACAGTAAGTTTAAATGACTTGTTCACTTTGAACGTGTGTGTGTGTGTGTGTGTGTGTGTGTGTGTGTGTGTGTGTGTGTGTGTGTGTGTGTGCGTGTGAGAGATATTCATGTTTTAAATACATGTATGATGGCGTATGTACAACACATGAAGAAGACCTCTCCTTCCTCGCCCCCTGTTTACTGGGGGAGAGGCGGCAGTTGAGAGGGGGATGGGGGGGAGATGGGGTAGACCTCAGTCCATTGCAGAGGGTGGGGCTCTCAGGTGGTGGCCTCCGGTGCGTCCCCGCCCTCATCCACCTGGTTTCCCTTCCCGAGCGTCTTCACCTTGGAGAGCAGGTCATCGAACGTCTCCTTCACACCTTTCTCCAGCAGCCAGCCCTCGCTCTCGCACTCTGGGTTCTCTGGGTCCTCCATCGTCTCCAGAGCCGTGCAGAGGTATTTCAATCCCGCCATGTCCGTCGACTGACACACACACACACACGCACACACGCACACACACACAGGGTTAGAACATGTACATATATATCACATCATTATTTACATGAATTAATTTAACTTTATGCAGCTGGAGAATCAGACAATTCCTATTTCTGTTCTTTTAATATATACAGATGTCCAAGTGGATTAAAATGTAAGTAGCCAATCAGAGGGCTCTCAGAAACCAGGGGGAGGAGTTACAGGTAAAGTAAAGTCTAAATCTGACTCCTCCAGGCCTCCGAGACTAGCTCCAGTGTCCGTGATGTTCCTACAAACATTTCGAGTCCTGAGTGATTGAGTTCAGGATGTTGTTTTTAAATCCGCCGCCTGTCATCACGCTTCAGGTCAAACTTGTTGTTTTGACCCAGATACTGAATCGCCTCTCACTCTCAGGAACTGTCCCTCGTCCTGACCTTCCCAGAATGCAACCTGTTGCTGCTGCGGGCAGATTAACCCCCCCAAGAATAGTTACTGATCCTCGGTGAGCCTGACCACCGCCCGGCAGCTTAACACGCTGCCACCTCGGCACCCGATCTACGGCCGAGTCCCAAGTCAACCGCCAGCTACAGTTGAAACATCTGAACGCTGCACGGACACAGCTTCCTGTCATATTTCTCTAAAATAACTCATATAAACAATATATATATATATATATATATATAGAGAGAGAGAGAACAAATAGTTTTTTTTATCATGAGGTGCTGTTACAGCTTACAATGCAGCTTAAAACACAAAAAGATGTGACTTTAAATTTACTATGATACAAAGCTGCAAAAATATATTTAAAATACTAAATTTTTGTGTATGGAGTTTGGTGTGTGCAGACTGACGAGCTGGACCTGGTTTTGTTCTTCATGAAGCAGAACAAACATCAGCTCTTCTTCTTTAGCGCTAACGCTAATCACGCGCTAATCAATTATGCTGTTAACCTGGTGCATTTGAGGTCTTTAGTTAGGCTTTAGTTAATTTACCGCGATTATCTTGTTGTAAATCAGAAGCTTAAGAGCAGAACTTATCCTGCATTCACCTTCAGGAGAAAGTCCTCCGAGATTTTCAACTCGTTCAAACTACCAAGTTAAAAACATCAGCAGGTGAGAGGCAGATTTAGCTCTGAGTTTTCACCGTGTTGCTAACCTTTGATTTTTAACCCTAATTTTAGCAAAAGTAAAAGCTAAATCTCTTTTTATATAAAACTTGATGAACCTTCCAACAGCCATCCCATCATCAACATGTTGGTGGCAAACCTTGTGATGCAGCTGGATTTTTCTCAAGTGAGAATCCATATTTCTGGGTTCAAAGCTACTTACATGTGGCTGAACCACAGCGGTTTGGACCAATCAGCGTCCTGTAAGGGAGGAGCTACTGGTAGCTATGGAGATCCAACTGTTTTGGATTCATAAGAGCGATTTTTATGCACAAATGTTCCTCACAAATACGACAAGAATCCTTTACCGACATGCTAGCTAGCTTTCAAAGCTCCTCAGACTGCAGCTTGTTTTGTTTCCTCTTTGGAGCTCTCTTACTACATCATATAATAGACAGATGCTTCATCCAATCACCTGCAAGATTTTTTTTTTTGAGAGTGCCTGCTCTTTTCCAAACAGTTTCCTATGAAGCCTTCCCACATAGTTCTGTGTAACAAACCAACAAACAGTGACTGATTCTGCTGCTTTGTGGTTTTACGAGAGCCGATGTGTCGGACTATTTCTGAGCCTAGAGGAAACAGGTAGCAGCCAATAAACAATCTGGCACAAAAAGATGGATTTTTTGTCTTTGGACAGAGCCAGGCTAGCTGTTTCCCCCTGTTTCCAGTCTTCATGCTAAGCTAAGCTAACCAGCTGCTGGCTGTAGCTTCTTATTTCCTGTAAAGACATGAAAGAGTCGGTCTGAACACCTGACTCTCACAGAGAAAGACAGGAGGAGGATTTTACCTAAATTTGAACTGTTCCTTTAAGTGACAGTGTGGCCCAGGCTGGATGCTGATTGGCTGAAGCCAGCTATGGGTGCGGACTCTTACCTCCAGGAGGATGGTAAAGATGACAAGCGCTCCGATGCTATTCATCATGCCACTATAGTAGGAGAAGAGGGCCTCGCGACAGCCCCGGACCCAGATGTTGAGCTCCTCTGTGCGGTGATCGTAGTCGTAGTGGGCGGAGTTATTGGTCAGGTGATGCTGGATGCAGGGCCGAGGGGACCCGGGGTTACAGCAGCTGAACGGGACGCTGTCCATCAGGAACTTCCCCTCCACATTACTGAGGACACGACTGCAGGACAGAGACAGTCAGGTTTAATGTTTCTGGATAATGCAAAGAGGTCAAAGGTCACACACACTGCCAGGCTAGTACTTAGGAGCAGTAGCAAGACCCCCAACCCAGACCACCCAGCCTGTGTCTGTTTGAGATGGTTTTACATCTCCTTGTAGTCACTTTTTGTCTCTTTGAAGACATGTGATTGACTTTGTAACAGGAAACGTAAACAGTCACCTCGAATAGAGGCTCCATTAGAAGGTTTCCATAAACTTTAAATACCTTCAGTGACCCCTGAAGCTTTTCTTTAGCACCACCTTCTGGACAGAATTGATTTTGATTTTGACATTTGTTTGGTTCTGATTTGGAACAGACAAAGACGGCGTCATTACAGCTGCATTTAAAACAGCTAAATCCAGTCATTTCAGCCAAATTGTCAAATCAATACTCTGCAAATTAATTCAAGGTTTTAACATAAATCAGCACAATTTTTTTTTACTTTGATGAGTTGGTGCTGTCAACCAATAAGAAACAACCTTTCAGTTAAACATCACGGTCAAACTACAGGAAGTCAATGGTTTGTTCTGCTGATGAAGGAGAACAATAGACAACAGTATCATCTGCATAAAACCGCACACACCATTTATTTATATGGGAAATAGTAGCAGCAACCCTAGCCCTCAGGTAGAACCCTGTGATACGAGGAAGAGGAAGAGGAAGGCCACCTGATGATCAGATTGAAAGTTCACTTAGTTTTCGCTTCACAACAACATTTAAAACTGGCCTCATTTCACAGTGAAATCACTTCATTTCACCGGAGTCTCTACAGTTCACCAATGAATGGCATGATGAAAAATCTACTCTAATGTTTTTGCGTCAAGATCAACCTTAAGGCGAATTCTGACACAAGAATTTGCACCGTTGACCAATCACAACCCTTCCTGACATAGCTGAGCTGTTGTAGCTTGTTACCTGAGTCCGATTCCAGTTTTATTGAAGCTCCTCAGTCACAAGTACTCTCTACGTCACCAACGTCATTACAGCCCCAATCCGAACAAACGGCATCCTGATGATTTATTTACTCTTACAGAATCTGAACAGTAGTGTAACGTTTGTCCTCCGGGAGGCGCTAGAGGATTGATTCAATGAAATCTAAAGGGTTCATCCACTGGAGAGCAGGAGACAAGTTAGATACACGGACAAATATCATCTTCAGGTTTTTTGAATAGTTTTGTTTGAATGGGAACAAAAAGTCGTTTGTTTTCGCGGCACTTTATGACATCACTGGTGGTTCGTCTGAGGGGGCGTGTCCTGTGAGTGAGTGATTGATATGTACAGGCAGTGGGCGTGGCCTGTGGCTAACAGGAGGCTAAAATTGGATCATGAGTAATAATAATCTCAGAGACAAGGTAATATCTCTTAAAGGCATTAACACAGAAACACGACATGGAAACACGCAAACACGGAACTACAACACGCTTCAGACCTGCAGCCACAGACACACATTTCTGCTTCCTGTCACACCTGTGACAGTCACCTGGTGTTTGTTCGACTTCCCTAACGTCGCCTCATTTGTTTGTAATGAAACATATTTCACCTCTGTGAAATACTGATTTTGCGTTGTGGTTCACCTGGTGGGAGAATGAAACGCTCCCTTAGTCATCTGGTTCGGTTTAACCTTGTCATGTTCACGGACGTGTAAGCCGCAGTGGGGTGGAAATCAGATCCTGACAGATTATAGACTTAGAGTGCAGAAGCAGGTTCATCGACCTCCAGCACGGCAACTTTTACCTCCTTAATTCCCTCATTTATCCTCCACTGACCCCTTTTAACAAAACTCACTGCGACAGTCCGAGCAACGAAAGTTTAGGTAAAATGGGAATCAGCTGATTCACACCTGACTGTTATGATGACGACATGATGTGTTGAGGGGATGTTGGAGGTTTAATTCAGGCTTTTCTCTTCGCTAAAAGGTTAGGAAGCTTAGAGATGATCCCGGTTTGTGCTCTCGAGGCCCCCGAGGCAGAAATGTGCCTGAAAACTTTCTGATGTCCTGCAGAGCTAAAGATCAGAGGTCAGAGGTCAGTTTGATGAGACCCAGGGAAAACTGAAAGGACTTCTTGTTAGGATCAGTGTGAATCTTTCAAATTATTAACAGATTCTTGGGCGGCAGTTAACCATTACTTTCATTATCGAACCAATTGGTCCAAGGTGAAGTCTTCAAATGTCTTGATTTGTCCAGCCAACAACCTAAAACCCAGAGACTCTGTTTAAACTGACTCCAGACGATGGAGCCAGTTGGCAGTTCATAAAAAACTCTGACGATTAATCGATTAAAGGTTAAGACTGACGGTTGCAGTGTTCGGTGTGTACTCACTCTTTGACCTCGTCATTGCTCATGTCCAGGTAGCGGTTGCTGATCCACTGCACCTCGAACCAATCCCTGAAGTTGTTGTTCCCGCAGCAGCGAAACTCGATCTGTGTCATGTCCAGCGTCCTCTTCATGAAGCAGCGTCCCGGCGTGTCTGTGTCTTTGTAGAACTTGATGCTGTTTTTCAGGCCCTCCGCCAGCGTCAGGTACATGGCGAACTGCATGAGGAAGCACAGCAGCGCCATCAGCAGCAGCAGCACGTTGAAGCCGCAGCACATCAGGAGGTAGGGCTTCAGCATCGGTTTCCACTTGGCGAACTTGACCGGATCCAGAGAGTCGTGGCACACCTTTCCCCCAAAGGCATTGATCCCACAGGCCAACATGCCCATCAGGATCAGCAGGTTGGGCACTAAGTGGCTCTCGTTGTTGTCCATCATCTCACTTCTCTTCCGCAGTTCGATCTTGAAGAAAATGCCAAGGCTGAAGATGAGGATGCCCACAATGACCGAGAGCCAGTAGAGCATCCATAGACCCTGAGCCAGCTTCACCCGCTTCTGCAGATTGAACTTCACCGGCATGAACGGCATTTTAACGTCTCAGTGCGGCCGACACACTCGGCTGTAATCAACAGTCACTAACGTCAGGGATCAATCAGAAAACAGTTTCCTCTGCTCAGTTCAGCTCAAGAATCCGTCAGAGTTTCAGAGTTTTAATCCGTCCCAGAAAGAAGCAGCTGAATGCGATTTTGTCACAACTCCTGGTTTCAGACCCATAATGCCGAGCTGCAGGTCAGGACAGTCCATACTGCTTGGGGGGCAGAGGGGTCTGCCATCAAATCAAAAACAAATATTTGCATAAAATGGGTCAGATGGGCTCGGCAGACAGCTCCTCTCACTGATATTTTCCTGCAGGAAGAAACGTCAAGGTGTGAATGTGAGCGAGCTGCGGCACGTCATCCTAAACCCCCAATCAGCTCTGATCCCATTAACGGCAGATCAGCTGCTGCCTCTAATCCTCCCACTTACTGCTAATTGGTTTGATGTTAAGAAGCAGCTTCCTCCTCTCGCCTGTCACAGCTCAGAGTTCACTGAGCAGCAGCGCTTCACTTCTGCTGGCGAATGCTCACCGGTCTCACCTCGCTGCAGGTGCACCTCAGCGACAGGGAGTAGAAGCGATGACCTGGACACTGTCCGTCCAATCAGCGAAGGAAACGCTAGGAACTTCCTGTAGGAAGCATAGAGAACTTTAAAACAGTGGAGGGCGTTACCTTGGAAACAGACTGTCCAATCACACGGCACTACAACATCACAACATATTTCATGTCTCTGAGATCTGAGAGTCCAGCAGTCTTGTTCGTCTTTAATGAAAGTAAATTTACATTAATCAGCACATTCACAAAGCTGAGCTGCTGCCAGCTGCACCCACACAGTGACGGGGTGGAGCTCTGCAGGTCTGAGGCCTCTGGGAGGTCGGCCTCAGACTGGAGGTCGTCCCACACCTCCTCTCTAGACGACTCCAGGTCGCAGGTGGAACCCATAGAAAAATGACAGTGACACCGTCATTGCAAAAAACCATTGGAGTCTGTCTTTTCTGTTCTGACCCACAATCCTCTGCTCCATCAAATCTATTTCACCTCATCCATTAAATCCTCGTTTACATTCTGATCAGCACGCCGACATAGGGCCGACGAGGCCCCCACCCTCCTGATCTGTGCTACTGCAGCATCAAGGGTCTCAGACTTTGTGAATTGATTTGATTGATTTCATTAGAACTGATGAGTTTGATCAGAAGCTGACAGGAACTCTTGAAGTCGGACTGAAGCTTTGTCACTGTTTGTTTGTCAGCGTTCATTTAATTTTCAGATAATTTAACTTACTAATAACAAATTTTTGTTGATTATTTTATCAACATTGATTAGCTGTTTTACCAATTTTTTTGAAGATTTCATTGATATTTGGTCACTACATAAAAAAAGATATTTTTCAAATATTTTGCAGATTTTTATTTGTTTAATAATTTACCAAAATGCTGTTTAAAAAAAATAATAAAAAAAAGATTTTGATAAAGTTTTTCTAGATTTCTAGTTTTTCTAAATCTAGTTTTTCTTGATGTAATAATTTTTGTCTGATATGTTTTTCTAAAATTTCAATTATATATGTTGACATTTTTTGGGGATATATTAATTTACTTATTTTTGTTGATTATTTAACTAATATTGTTCAGTTATTTTACCAATATTTTTATAAGATTTTATTGATATTACACTTTGACAGGTATTTTTCTATTTTCTATTTTATGGAGATTCTTTAATATTTTTTTTTACCAATATTCTTCAGACATTTAACTAATTTATATCTGATATTTTATACAATCTTTCAATCATTTTAGATTTTAAGGATAATTTTTATTTTTATTACAGGTATTTTACTCGTGTTACTCAGAGACATTACTGATGTATTTCTAAATATATTACTATTTCTTTTTCAGATGAGTGTTGAGACTGGAAAACGACCTTCATCTGTCAGTGGAAATGTTCAGTCACATCTGCAGACTTTGATAAATACAATTATAATAAAATATGGATCATAAAAATGGATGTCTGATCAGTTTCCAGCGTCTCGTCCTGCAGATTTCCAGACAAACAGAGAAATTAACTCCTTTTAAACTTTTTATTGGTTTTGTAATTCTTATACAATATTGTACATTTCCTCATTTATACAAGAATTCACATATTAACAAGTCAGAAGTGATAAATGATGCAGTGGTGAGGAGGCAACATGCTGTCGAGACCATCAGGTGACCCTCAATAAAAAAACTACGTAAACAATGATCTCCAACCGAAAAATGTTTTTTCTTTGTTTATCAGTTTATAAAAATCTGATTTATTTTAAACAAGTAAAAAAAATCTGAAAAAGAAACTTTTGTTTTTCACTTGTTTAAAAAACAAACAAACTGATAAATAAAGTAAAAGATGGAGATTTTTCTGTCGTCTTTAATCTCAGTTTTCTGTCGCCTCCCACGTTTCACAAACTCAAACCCATAAAAAACACACAGCTCTCCACACAAGCAAACACATGAAGCACACACACACACACACACACACCCACACCCAGAGTCTCTTTAAATAAAACCTTATAACAAAACTAAAAAAAACTGATCAGTATCAGTCGTTCATTCCTAATCAATACGCAGCTCTGATATGTGGTTTCTGATCGATACTCGGCTGAAGCTCCGACCTCGAACTCTGTCTAATGACACACAGAGAAAACGATTAATATGAATAATTAATATTCCTGTTTTAATAACATGAGGCTCAGCGGCTGTTCTGATAACGGAAGAATCCTGTTTTCAAAACAAGAGGCAAAATATTTGTTTCTTACATGTGAAGATCTGAAGCTTTTCATCAATTAATCGATTAGAAATTAATTTCATGAATCCATTGATCAATTAAATCACTTTTTAAACAGAAATCGTAAACATGTTATGATGGATGAGAGAAAGTGACGGCGTCTTTCACTGGTTTCTCATCTATTAAAGATCAATCAATCAATCGATTAATGGAGAGAATAATCAACAGCTAGATGCAGCTCTAATTCAGAAATGTAGGCAGCTGAAACAAATAAATTTCACAATAAAATTCATAAATAAAACTCAGTCAGGTCTGTTTTTTTCTCTTTCCTGTTTGGTTTTTCAGAATAAAACTGATTTGTTGTTTCTGCGTCTTCGTTTCCCTGTCATGTCACGTTCAAGCTCCGTTGTAAATGTGAACATCATGTTTGTTTTGGAGCCTGGAGTCTGATACAGTGACCTGCTGCAGCACTGAAATATTATATAGAAGGTCAGAGGTCACAGGTGAGAGTCTTTCAGGTTCTCCAGGTGAGTCCGTTCACAGACACTCAGGAGGAAACGGAGACTAAAAAGTGTCAAATCTTCACAGGTGAGAACCAGGAACCAGTTTGTTAAATCTGAGATGATTTATTGATTATCAGAATAGCTGCTGATTGCTAAATGATTAATCACATTTTCAGCAGCTCTAAATGTGCTGTAGAGGAGTGAATGATACTCCGGTGCGACTCACCTGGTACTACAATACCCATGAGCCTCAGCTGCTGTTGCTAATTAAACTGCTGAATGATTTTTCAGGTTTCTACAAAGTCGAAAATGAAGCTACAAACTCTGTAGAACGTGAAGCTCCGATAAGCTGATTGTTAGTGAAATGCACCTTGGGAGTTGTAGTTTTTCCGTCCACAGGCTTTCTGTACCTTTGATGCAGATTTTCTCTGCTTCATGTCCGACACACACTGTCCTCACACCTCTGTGGAAACAGAGACACACACCTGTTTGAACCTCTGAACCAATCAGAGAAGTGGGCGGCGGCTTCTGAAACCAGGTGAGTTTTTCAACCTGCGACCTGAGAGGAGGTTTGAATTTGAAGGAGTCAAACATCAAACAGATTTCTGGGTCTGTTTGAAACCACCTGTCAATCGACTTGTGCGTGTGGGCGGGGCTTCACTTTGGCTCTCTGTTAATGTTAATGAGTCATTTTAATTTCTGCAGAACTTCAGGATTTTTAAAGATTCACAGAAAAAACTAGAAATGAAAAGAAACTGAAATTAAAACCTCTAAACTGTCCTGGAGTCAGTGTTACTGCCTCTCTCTGATTGGTGGATGACGCAGGGAGGGTCAGAGGTCAGACAGAAACCAAAAAAACCAAACGTCCTGAAAAAATCCCTGAAAGCTGATCTGAGCTCAGCGCTGGGCTGCAGGAAGCTGATTGGTCGAGGGGGAAAGGTTTGTTTTTAAAAAGGGGGGGGGGTGGTGGGGGGGGTAAAAGCTGCGAGCCAATAACTTGCTGTCTTTCTAAGCATGAGGGGGCGGAGCCGAGCAGAAGCATCACAGGTGTTGCCAGTCGATGGCGACCAGCGTCTGATTGGCCTCCTGAGCGTGACCAATGACTTCAGCGACGCCGTGCTGCCGCCACAGACGCTCGATCTTCCTGTAGCGCTCCTGACACAGGTGGAGGGGGTTCCCCCGCCTGCAGGGACACACACAAACAAACAAACAAGTAAACAAATAAATAATCGCAAACACAAATAAAAAATAATAATCATAAAACACATGAACACAAATAAATAAATAGACAAATAAGTAAACAGACACAAAAACCAAATAAAACTAAACAAATAAAACAATAAAAACAAACATTGATTCATGGTGGTGGTTCACGTCCTTCAGCAGAGTTTACGCAACGTAAACAACAACAAAAAGATAAACAACAATGTAAACACATACTTGAGTCCCTGGTCGGTCTCTCCGTAGTCGTCCAGGTAAGGAGGAGGATAGAAACAGCCCTTTGTTTTACCTGCTACAAACAACACCTGACTCTCTCTGACCCTACACACACACACACACACACACACACACACACACACACACACACACACAGAACATTAACAAACACTGTATAACCTGTATTGATTACACAGGATGAGACCAGAGTCCAGGTGTGTTACCTGAGGAAGAGTCCAAGGCCGGCTCCACAGGTGAAGGTGTGGGCGGTGCAGGCTCCTACGTCCTCTCCGTCCACCTCCGTCTGACAGCAGTAACTCTGAGAACACAACATGGAGCCACAGACCAGACACAGGGTGGGAGCACGGGACTTATCTCCACCTGACCGCGGACACCTGCACAGGTAACACACACACACACACACAGGTACGGTTACAGTAGCAGAACACATGATAGTGTCACCATAATATGTGTGTGTGTGTACTGACGTGAAGCTGGATGCCTGGTTGATCAGGACGCTGTAATCTTCCGGCAGCTCAATCAGCCGGTTTGACTCTCTCGGGAACCTGACGATGACTCCGCCCCCCTGCAGTGTCTGTCTCACACCTGGATGACAACACCACCTGGACACACAGACACACACACACACACACACACACACACACACACACACAGTTTCAGTGTTACATCATGGTTGATGGAAGATTTTCAGGTTTGTGCCTTGTTCAGTTCAAGTATGAGAACACTGACAGCACACCTGGCTACACTCTTCAGTGTGTGTGTGTGTGTGTGTGTTACCTGTGTATGAGTGGCTCCAGCAGTGTGTGTTGGCTCTGGTAGAGCTGCAGCAGGTTGGAGGGCAGACTGAGGTAGCTGCACACCGCCTCCCATTGACCAGGACCTGCAACTACAACACACACACACACACACACACACACACACAGAGATGATACTTTGTTCTCATCCTGACTACAGAGAAACACTGAAAACCTGTGACTGTTGATATGTGAATCTGTCATGTTGTGTGTGTGTGTGTGTGTGTGGGTTGTGTTGTTGTTACCCAGCAGGTCAGCAGGTGGCGCTGTAGAGTTCAGGTAGTGGAAGAAGAGGGCGGCGGCTCGAAGGAACGGCAGGATGCCGGTTTTAACACAATGCCACAACTGCCACCCAGAGGACACTTCTGGTAACAAACTGATCCACACACACACACACACACACACACACACACACACACAGTTATTTAATCACAATTAAATTTAAAAATAAATTCATTTAGCAAAAATAAATAATAAAAACTAATATATTTTTCATCAATTATTGATTTCTGAATTACTTTATAATCATGTGTTCGTTTATATATTTATATCCATGTAGAAATAATAGACACAGACATTGATTCAGAGGTTACTGTGTGTGTGTGTGTGTGTGTGTGTGCTCACCTGCCCAGGTGTTTCCTCAGTGTGTCATAGAGCTGACATGTGAACTCCTCCTCCTCTGATCCTGCACTGTCCTGATCCATACACACATCCTCTACATACAGACAGGTGAGACACAGACAGGTGAGACACAGACAGGTGAGACACAGACAGGTGAGACAGACAGGTGAGAGACGGATAGAAACAGACTGCTTCATGTGGATCACCATCATCATCATGTGTATAGAAACTGTAAGTGTGTGTGTGTGTGAGTCACCTGTGGCGGAGGTGAGCAGGATCTGAACCAGGTGAGCCACAGTGACCAGGTGAAGGACGTGGAGGTGGGCTGAGTCAACCACACTGCGTCCTGATTGGTCCAGACTGTGAACCGAGGTGTAGGACAGCACACTGTAAACCTGCAGTGAGAAACGCACAGACAGTTACACCACTTTTATTCTGAAATTCACCTAACCAACCAACCAACCAACCAACCAACCAACCAACCAACCAACCAACTAACTAGATTTAAACTGGATTTAAACCAAAGTTAAACTGGTTTAAACTGGATATAAAGTGATGAAACTCACCAGCAGGTGAAACATATCGATGTCGAGGATACACACAGTGTTTTCCACCTGAGAGTCAGGAACCAGGGCTGAAACACACACACACACACACACACACACACATTTATACAATTGTCAGTGTGTAATAGTAAGTGTATGTGTGTGTGTGTGTACTGTGTCGTGTGTGTGTGTGTGTGTGTGTACTGTGTCGTGTGTTTACCTGCAAACAGTCTGATGAAGTGTGTGTGAATCGTTTTCAGTGGAGCTGCGGTCCAACAGGCCGAACTGAACCTGGTCAGAGAGCTGAGACAGTCGTCCTGCAACACACACATACACACACACCTGAGTTTCACCTGTTCACATTCACAGTCAGTCATTTTACACCTGCGATTAACCTGACAGAAGCTCCGCCTCCGTTCACAGGTACAATATTGAGGGCTGAACGTGAGGCTCCGCCTTACGAGCTTCAACACACCTACACGCTTATCAATTATTGATCAGCTGAAGGTTGATTTTCACTAGCTGATCTGAAGGGACAGTGATGTCATCAAGCTCAGGTAGGCTCATGCCCCACCCCTCGATTCCTCCTGACCAATCAGAATGCTTCTCTCAATAAGCAAAGAGTGTTACCTGTCGACAAGGTAAACTTCCAAACAACGGCTTCTCCTCGTCCATCAGGAGGCGCTCTGCAAAGATAAATACTGTCAGGGTGACCTCTGACCTCTCAGGTGTGTGTATACCTATACTCTGAATGGTGTGTGTAACTCTCAGGTGTGTATATACCTATACTCTGGATGGTGTGTGTAGCTCTCAGGTGTGTGTATACCTATACTCTGAATGGTGTGTGTGTGTAGCTCTCAGGTATGTGTACACCTATACTCTAGTGGTGTGTGTGTGAAGCTCTCAGGTGTGTGTATACCTATACTCTGAATGGTGTGTGTGTGTGTGTAGCTCTCAGGTGTGTGTACACCTATACTCTGGATGGTGTGTGTGTGTGTGTGTGTGTGTGTGTGTGTGTAGCTCTCAGGTGTGTATATACCTATACTCTGGATGGTGTGTGTGTGTAGCTCTCAGGTGTGTGTACACCTATACTCTGGATGGTGAGTGTAGCTCTCAAGTGTGTGTATACCCACACTCTGGATTGTGTGTGTGTGTGTGTGTGTGTGTGTGTAGCTCTCAGGTGTGTATATACCTATACTCTGGATGGTGTGTGTGTGTAGCTCTCAGGTGTGTATATACCTATACTCTGGATGGTGTGTGTGTGTAGCTCTCAGGTAAGTGTATACCTATACTCTGGATGGTGTAGGCGCAGGTGGACCAGCTCAGCACTGGGACTCGGTGGTCCTGCTCATTGGGGTTCACCTTCAGTCCCACCTTGTAGGTCGACATGCTGAAGGTAGTGATCATCTCACTGATGCTGCTGGAGAACGGGTTCCTGAGGGACACAGTGACATCATCATCTGCTGACATCACCCAGGTGTGTTTTCACAGACGTCCTGAGGTACTATTTTTTGTAATAATAATCCATATCAGACTGAGACTGTTTATACGACAGCTGCGACAGAACCAGATCCTGTGGACATAAACTATGATACAGATTATTGATCAGGATCAATAGAAACAGCTGCTGACTCACTGTGGAGTGAAGTCGACTCTGAATCCTTCAGGAACGACAGGCTCCACCCCCTCTGCTGCACCTGAAACACACACACACACACACACACACGTTAACAAGCTAAAGCATATTTGGGTGGGCCTGACTCGGCATGACTCCGCCCCCTAAATTACTGACAGGTGACATACCGTCAGACTGCATCCTGTGGGTGGAGTGTAGTGCTGCTATCTGTTGATTGGTTGTCTTAAGCCACGCCTCCAGACTGGGATGATTGACACTGAGAGAAAAAAGAGAGGAAGCACACCTGTAAGGTAACAAGTGTGAACCTGTAGTCAGGTGTATGTACCTGTGGTCGAGTGTCTGTACCTGTGGTATACTGATTGTTTACCTGTGTTCTGGTTTGTGTGTGTTTGTGTGTGTGTGTGTGTGTGTGTGTGTGTGTGTGTATGTGTGGTAAGGTGAGTGAACCTGAGGTCAAGTGAATGTACCTGTTTTCAGGTAAGTGTGTACCTGTGGTACAGTGTGTGTACCTGTGCCCAGATGAGTGTGTACCTGTGGTCAGGTGTGTGTGCACCTGTGGTCAGATGAGTGTGTACCTGTGGTCAGATGAGTGTGTACCTGTGGTCAGGTGTGTGAGTGTGTGGCAGCAGAGGGATCACAGTGTTGCTCAGACACTCGCAGAGCGGACAAAGAAACTCTCCGTTCTCCACGTCGTAGCTGGTGTGACCTCGAAGACGCTGCTGACGTCTCTGCTCCTTCAACTGCACCGCCTCAAAGTACCTGTACACAGGTGAAAAGCACATTTCTCTTGTCCAGGTGTTGAGTCTGACCCCTGCGCACCTGATGAAACTTTTTCTAAGCTGGTGTTTGGACTATGTGCAGCTGCAGTGTTGTACCTCTGCCAGCAGGTGGCGTGCATGATGTGTCCACAGCTGGCTGTGTGAATCCCCAGAGACAGGTCAGGGTGCATGAACACAGGGTCGTGCCGCTCTGAAACACACATTCACACATCCACCAATCGATTAACCCGTCAACTGTGATTGGTTACTGTCCCGATGATGTCAGAGTGAAGCTCACCGGGGTCGGGTAGGTTGCGGCGGCGGTTTTTGGACAAAACGGTCGACCGCTGGACGAACGCAGCCAGCACCATGGCTCTGCCGTGACCTCTGACCTCCTGCTCCTCCTGACACAGGATACAGGTCACCAACTGACGACGCTCGGCTCCGCCCACCCTCCTGGGACCAACACACACCTGTGAAACACAGGTTGGCACCAAACTGGGAGGACTGGGGGCAAGAGGGAAGAGGGGCAGAATATTTTCAAATTATTATTTCTATATGTTGGTGGTTACTGCAGCAAAAGATGTGTACAGGTGCAGACAGGTGTGTAGAGGTGTGTGTACAGGTGTACCTGTTCTCTGCAGCAGCAGACGTCGACGCCTCCAGCTCCTCCAGACTTTGTTGAAAAAGTTCTTTGTTCTCGTTGATGAAATGTTTCTGCATCTCGGACATCTGAGCCATGATCTTCTCCCTCCGGAGTCGGGCCATCTCCGCCTTCCTCTTCCTCTCCGCCTTGTCCTTGTCTCTCAGCGTCTGCAGGAGACAACAGGTGTTTTACCTCTTCAACCTGCTGACGGTGACGCAGCTCGATGCGTTTCTGAAGTGTGTTTGTGTCTTACCTCCTCCTGTCCTTGTCCCGGGCTGATGGTGATAGTGGACGTGGACGACGTTCGTTCTCTCATTGTTTTGATGTTTGCCACCATCTGCACACAAACAAACAAAACAATAAACGTCTACAGCAGCAACTCAACATGGAGAAGTGCAGGTGATCCATGAGGACGGACTTGTCCTTAGTGATGAAGGTAAAGCGTGGAGATATTTTCAATTAAAACATTTGTCATTAGTTAAAATTAAGTTTAGCATTAAGTTTTTAATTGCTGATAAAAAAACGTAAAACATTTCTTCGTCATCATACTTTCCATGATGAAAGTATTTCAACATGATTTGAGTGAACTGAACCTTTAGTATCAGGTCAGACTGATGCTATTCACATCATGTTAACGTGTATGATCTGTTTTACCTTGAGGATCCAGGTGATCATGTCTTTGTGGACCTCCAGGTGAGGAGCGTTCTGCAGACTCTCTAGCAAGGCCAGGACACTCCCTGAAGTACTGGGAGCTTCACCTGGACCTGAAATCACACACACACACACACACACACACACACACACACACACACACACACACACACACACACACACACACACACACACACACACACACACACACACACACACACACACACGACAAGTCGAAGTTGCAGGATATATGGCCAGTCTCTCGCTCTGTTCCTGAGTTACAGCCTTGAATAATGACCAGAAGTGTCTTTGCAGAACATTATGATGTCACAGTGAAGTTGACCTTTGACCTTTGGCCACCAAATTAAAACAAACAAGTGGAGAAGTGTAAATGTGTGTACTGACGTGTGATCTTGCAGGTGTAGTTGAAGGTGACGTCATCGTCTCCATTGCCGTTCTCCAGCTGCTGCTGCTCCTCCAGCAGAGCCATGCCCACCAGGTGGAGCACCTGTGCGCATACACAGTACACACAGAGAGTACACACAAAGTACACACACAGAGTACATGTTATTTTCTCATCACAGAACCACGGTGTCCCATGAGGAAAACACACTGACAACAAAGTGAGACACAGATTAAACTGAGATCAGTTTCATTAACATTAAAGCTTCAGCGATTATCATCTAATAATATAATAGAAAACAGTCACAGCGACATTTTACTGCACTGAGAACTTTTACTTTTAATTTTCCTGATTTTACTCAAGCACTTTTACTGAAGTTACATTTTAAATGAAGGACTTAAACTTAAAAACAGAGTATTTTTACTCTGGTATTTGTACTTTGACTTAACAACCTTCTTCATCCTGATGAGATTAAATAATGAAATAATGATTATTGTTTAATTTATGTAATTTTTTTTTCTCCCTGACGCCAGAAGCTGCTTGATTCAGGAGATAAAATCTTCGCCTCACCCTCTGCAGCATGGACTCGGTCCAGCCCCCCCCACTGGGCTCCACAGCCCACTGCAGCACGGCGCCCTCTACAGCCAGCAGCACGTCACACTGCAGCAGGTTCACCAGGCTGCCAAACAGAGGACAGAGAGGGGGAGGGGGAGGGGGGGGCAGGGCTGACCAACACACACACACACACACACACACACACACACACACACACACACGACCATAAATAACTGTAATAAACTCCCGATGTGATTGTTAGTGAATGTGATCTAGAGGAGACGTTTCTCTGAGGCTCATGTGGTTCAGTTCCATATCCCAGAGCCTCAGTCTGTGTGTGGTGTGTCACAGGTGACAGGTGTGACACCACACACACCTGTTACTGTAACATTACACTCAAGTGTGTGTGTGAATGTGTAACTGTGTTTACCTGTGTCCTCCCCGTTCTGTCTCCTCAGCTTCCTCTGAGCCTCCTCGGCCTGAAACACACACACACACATCATACATCACACACGGTTACCGTGACAATGAACAGATCAATAACCCAATCGATACCCCGATCAGTGTGTACCTTCGACTGGTCGGCTCTGCTGTAGTGATGGAAGTACAGGTTGAAGTATTTGTTCCACTCAGGACGCAGCTCATACAGACCTCGACCCGTCACACCAGGTTTCCTGTAAACACAGTACAAATACACACAGTACTACAGTCAGTACCACAGTCAGTACTTCAGTCAGTACCACACTACCAAAGCCAATACTATAGTCAGTACTACAGACAGCACTACAATACTACAGTCAGTATTGTAAATACTGTAAATATTATATATATTATATTTCTTCCTGATATTAAACACTATCTAACTTGAGACTTTAAGGTGGACTGGTGATGTTGTTTGTAAAGGTAGAAATGTATTTAAGGTGGAAGTGTGAAGAAAACAGACTGACTTGAATGAAGCGACGCTGTCGATGACTCTCTCCAGACCAGTCTCCTTATTCCCCTGAGAGAGAAAGAGTCAGAGATCACCTGTCTGTACGGACTGAGGGCAGACAGGTAAACAGACACACAGGTAAACACACGGACAGACAAACAGGTACACTGACAGACAAACAGGTAAACAAATAGACAGACAGGTAAACAGACACACAGGTAAACACACGGACAGACAAACAGGTAAACAGAAAGGTAAACAGACAGACAGGTACACTGACAGATAAACGGGTAAACAGACAGACAGAGGGACAGACAGACAGAAAGACAAGTAAACAGACAGACAGGTAAACAGACAGACAGAGAGGTAAACAAACATACAGACGGACAGGTAAACAAACATACAGACAGGTAAACAGACAGACAGACAGACAGACAGACAGACAGGTAAACAGACAGACAGACAGACAGACAGGTAAACAGACAGACAGACAGGTAAACAGACAGACAGACAGGTACACAGACAGGTAAGCAGGTAGGTGTCTCACGTTCTCAGGCAGAGCCTTCACCAGCTCACTGTGAGCCATCGGTCTGATCGACAGTTGATGGATGATTTCTCTTCTGACCTCATCAAAGGGCTCCACCTGTCCAACACCTGCCACGTACCGCTCACCTGAACCACACACACACACACACACACCCTGAGATGTAGATATGACACTGCAGCTACCTGTGTCACCTGTTTAACCTGATTCCTGTTCTCTTAAATAAAACTGAAGCAGCACAGACAGACTCACCGACGACCATGATGATGAGGTGAAGCATCTCCTCGATCAGAGTGTTGTTCTGTTGGACCACGTCCTGTCAACAGACAGCACACCGTCAGTGGTGTCAGTACTGACCTTGTTGGTGTGTTACAGTGTCAGTGGTGTCAGTACTGACCTTATTGGTGTGTTACAGTGTCAGTAGTGTCAGTACTGATCTTATTGGTGTGTTACAGTGTCAGTACTGACCTTGTTGGTGTGTTACAGTGTCAGTAGTGTCAGTACTGACCTTGTTGGCCTCTCTGTATCTCTTCCTGAAGTCTGCGGAGCTGAAAATGTGGACCAGTTCGAATCGACTCAGAACGATCATCAGGAAGTGGTTTGGATCCATCATGGAAGCGCCGGCCTGCATCAGAACACAAACACAGACACAAGAGACTGAATCTACAGACTCATGATGTCACACTACAGGTGGGGTCAGTACAGTCAGTCTCTACCTGCAGCATGATGACGTCTTTGTCGAACATCTCCACTCTGCACTTCACGTTGTGATAATAATAGATCTGAAACACAAACAAGTATTACTGTTGCTGTTCTGGTTACCATGGTGACTCTACACAGCTGCTGATCGCAGTATTGATCACTTCAGTATTGATCATCAGGTATGGACTCACCTGGTTGATCAGCGAGAAACCGTTCCTCCTCCACATCCCAGCATGCACCTGAGCACAGAGGACCAGGCAGCGGAGGGGGAGTTCGATGAGTAGGGGGGGGCTGAGTTCACCCTGAGGAGACACACACACACACACACACTTTAACACTGATGTTTTGATCCAATTGGTTTGAATGTTGTGATCAGGTTTGAAGATGTGAGAAATCATGTTGTTGCTGACCAGAGGAAGTTGTTCAGGGAAACGAGAGGCGACTTCTGTCCTGCTGAGGAGAACATGGAGACCTGGGGGGGGGGGTCGGCTTAATGTCACCTGTCTGAAACGCTACAAATAAAATCTACCACAAAAATGTAGTTTATAAAAACCAGAGTGTGTGTCAGTGTGTGTTTACCTGCCAGCAGCCTGCAGACCGGCAGGTGTATGGACACTTTGTCCTGAGACACCTGGTACCTGAACGTCTCCACAGAGTGACCGGCCAGGCTCAAGCTGATTGGCTGCTCGCCGTCTGGGAGGCCGCTGTGGCAGTGACTGAGCGCGCTCAGACACTTCCTGTAGGCCTCGATCAACACGCGCTCCTGACACACACACACACACACACACACACACACACACACACACACACACACACACACACAGAAACCGAGGTTAGCTGTCAGAAAGCTGCTACTGACAATAACATAAATAATGATTATCAACTCATCTCTCCATTATTTTATTATTGATCAGTTATTGATCAGACAGTGAAAAGTGTCGTTTGACCTTTTAAAGACCAAGAAAACCTGAAAACCTGTTTTCAGCTGGAACAGAGAATCTTTGCTTTATAGGTTAATAAAAACCTGAATAATCGAATTTCAATTATCAAAATGCAGATTAATCTCGTGCCAATCAACCAATCAATTAATTGTTCCTACTCTAATATTGGTAAGATCTATGTTTTCTCCCGCGTCTGTCTGATCTGGATTTTTTACTATGAACTTTTTTCCCCTGACGTCTGGTCTGTGCTGTCGAGTGTTCGCTCGCTTAGTTTCAGTCTAACTCAAAGTGAAGTCACCACTGAAACATCAGTCACGAATCAATAATGTCCGTCACATCGTGTTGTTGGCGTGTGTGTGTGTGTGTGTTGTGTAGCTTTGTGTGTAGACTCACGTCAGCGGAGCACCACTCCTGGATCATGGAGATGATGTGAGTCAGTTTCATCTGCAGAGTGAACGCTGCCTCCCACTCAGGCTCCATCTCTATGTGCTGCCCCACCTGTCTCACCACCGGGTCCATGCCCTGAGACAGACAGACAGACAGACAGACAGACAGACAGACAGACAGACAGACAGACAGACAGACAGACAGACCCGAAGATCAGAGACAGGTTTGTGAATCAGAGACGGACAGGTTCATAAGTCAGAGACAGAGACAGATCCACAGATCAGAGACAGACAGGTCGATAGATCAGAGGCAGACAGACAGGGAGAGAGAGAGACAGGTCCATGGAGCAGAGACAGGTTGTAGCTGTCCAGGTGAACCTCAGGTGTGTATCTCTTTACCTGCATACACTTGAGCAGCTCCAGAAAAGCGTCGAGACCTTCTAGAAACTTCAGTCTGAGCTGATCACTCCACTCAGAGGGACGACTGATCAGGACGTACCTGTACACACAGGCCTGCTTCAACTGGGAGAACTGGTGTATAACTGGTGTATAACTGGTGTATAACTGGTGTATAACTGATCCTCACTTGAGGTCTCCTATGAGGCTCTGGACCCGTCCGAACTTGAAGGCCTGCTGGGCTGTGTAGCGGTCGAACTGGAAGCGCCCCTGCAGGTCTCTGTGACGGAGGTGATCCACAAACGTCCTGATGATGGTGGTCATCAGGTTCTCCTCCACCATCAGCATCCGGGCCTGCAGCGTGCACACGCACACACACACACACACACACAAGCTCCTGATGAAGAACTGACTAGAGGAAGTCGGTGGATTTGGAAACAGCACAAATCAAGTGAAACAAGTTGTTTAAAATGAGATGAGGTCAGGTGATTAGACAGGAAGCTGCAGGTGTAACGACTGACGTGACAGTAACCATTTCATCTCACCTGCGACACAAACAGTCAGACTGAACTCACCAGCGACGGGACGGTGAATATTTGCACTGACAGGTCAGTGATGGAGAACTCACGGTCGTGGTCGTCTTTCACGTAGTCGCTCTGCAATCGTTCATAACTCTACCGGCAGGAGAGAGAGAGACAGGGAGAGAGAGAGAGAGAGAGAGAGACAGAGAGAGAGAGAGGGAGGGAGGGAGAGAGAGAGAGAGAGGTGTGTGTGGAGGTGCAGGGAGGAGGAGGAGGAGTACTCACCATGGTCGGGACAGTGAAGAGCTGAACTGACAATGAGGTCACTGACACCACTCGCTCGTGGTCGTCCTCCATAAAATCTGTCTGGAGGCGTCTGTAGTTCTAGAGGGGGGGGATGACATTCACCTCTGGGTCATAGGTCACTGCTGCCGGGCCGACGCCACCCCCCCCACAAAAAAAAAAAAACCCTCCCCCTACACTGAGTCACGTTGAGGGACAGAGTTTAACCAACCAACCAAAGTCCTGCGATGTATTCGACTCCTCTGAGCCACAAACCATCAGTGGCATTGTGTCACATGTTCCTTCATCACCATCAACAAACACACCGTCCTGCTGCCCCATATACTCACTACAGCACCAAATGTGGATTAATCCACCACAGAAAATAGTCCCCAGCAAATGCTTTAGATATTTCCTCCTGTTTGATTGACAGAAACTACAGTGAGCAGCTGTTTGAGGAAATTACTGAGCTAAGTTTTAAAAATCAAGCTCCACCGTGTTAAACCAAAGTCGGTTGCAAACGTCTCCCCAGTGGAACCAGCTGTGACTGATTTTCATTGCTGTGTTTGAGTAGTTTGTTTAAGTCCTGAATAAATAAAATTACGGCTGCTAAATATCCAAAAAAAGTTATATATTTGGGGAGATATTATGATTTTCAGTTAGAACTTTTGTTGGTCTTGTACCAAACAATCATGTTTCCTTTACATCTGGAGAATGTGATTTGTAGGCCAGGGCGTCTCTGCAGCACTGCAACACTTCATGGTGCTAACAGTGCACTACAATGTTGTGAGGTTTCGATTATATTTCGATTAATTGTGCAGCTTTAAATAAAAACTATCCACTAATTCATAAGAAAAAAAAAAAGGAAATGGAGGAAAGTCTGGACGTAAACTCTGCAGGTTTCCTCTGTGTCTGAACCAGCGGAAGAAAGCAAACTTTAAAGGTGTGTGTGACAGCTGCTCTCACACACACCTGCTCTGTCCTGCTCAGGATAAAACACACCGACTGCAGGTAACAACAACAACAACAACAACAACGCTCACATGTATCAACACAAACTGAGGCAGAAATCACTGTCAGAGCAGATCAGGTGTGTGTTTGTATCTCTACTTCATGTCGGTGTAAAAGTGGATCAGACCCATCAGCTGTGTGATGTGGTGTGATCGAAAGTTCAAAAACCCCTGAGCTGATCATTGAAAACGGCTGATCAGCAACTTTAAGACAGAGGAAGCAAAAACTGATAGATAAAGATCTGATCAGACCACAGACGCTCGATGGATCAGTTGATCAGGTGTGTGTGTTGATCAGGTGTGTTACCTTGGCGAACTGGATGGCAAAGATCTTCTTGTACTTGAGGTCCATGAGGAGGCTGTTCATCAGCAGCTGGTGGTAGATGTTCCTCGCTCCTGAGGACAGAGATCAGGTGAGTCCCTCCATCTTACCTGTGTCACTGACTCAGCTTTATTCATGGAAACAGGTTTTTTTAAGTAGAAAATCCTTTTAATATCATGTAGAATTAGATTTAAAAACCAGTTGGGACCATGTGGCCTAGAAAAACCAAGAACCTCCTGCAGCTCAGACCAAGAACTATAAATATATCATTTTAAAAATTGTTGTAACTCCAGTGGAAACTACACCACAACTATAACGATAGAAACACTGACAGCCAATTAAAATCCATCTGACTTCACAGGTGGGCGGAGCTTGTGTTCTGATCTTTAATAATGTTGTTACTGGGGTCGATACATTGTGTACGTCATGTTCAACACAGAGGTTAAAAAAACCCACAACAACAAATAAAATAACAGTATAAAAATACAAACAGGAAGTGTGTGTGTGTGTGTGTGTGTGTGTGTTACCTTTCCACATCTTGGAGTCGTTCAGCATCAGTCGGTCGACCAGTGAGGAGTTCTCTCCTTCTGGCCCTTTCTGGAGTCCGACCTGACACAGGATCCTCCTCAGACCGTCTGAAACACACCGAGTATACACATCACAACACGCAGCAGCAGCGACACACAGACAAGAGGGATTGTGGGTAACGAAGTCCAGACGTACCAGAGTACTGAATGATCTGTCCCAACCAGGTCAGGGCCTTCAGAGCGAAACACTGATGAGCAACAACAGACGAGTGCATCACCTGAACCCTGAGGGGCTTCGACTGACGACTGGTGTTCCTCTGGGGGAGGTTGNTGGGGGGGGGGGGGGGGGGGGGGGGGATAAAGAAAGACTGTTTAAGAGGTCAATGCACCTCTGTACTGTCCACAAACAATGAGACAACAAGAGCAGACGGAGGCTGAATCCAAAAATGTCCAGACTTCTTTGCCATAACAGGTTCTATAATAATAAAATTAAATTAAATAAAATAAAACCTGATCATAGTAACCACATTGGTCGTCATGTCAACAGTCATGTCATTACGGAGGCAAACACTCACCACTATCACAGACTTGGCCTGTTCGCAGAACTGGAAATCTCCATATCGAACCGACTTCCTGCCCTACACACACACACACACACACACACACACACACACACACACACACACAC